AGAGACAGGGTCCAGAGAGCGCAGCTGTATGACAAGCAGAACATGCTGCTGTTTTTCAGTCTTTCTAAAGCAGGAAGAGGCAAGCAGTGTTTTGCAAAGGCAAAGACGAGCCAACAGCTTCTTTGAAGAGATAAAACTGGGGTCAGTAGAGCGAGAATGCATGGAAGAAAAGTGTTCCTTTGAGGAAGCGAGAGAGATTTACCATGATGATGAACGGACAGTAAGTAACACGGGGCTGGGTGAACACTCACTGTCAGAGGGACTGTCCCTACTCAAGGGTGTGCTTTGACACTAAACTGCAAGAGCAAAAAAAAAAGCACGATGTGTCCTGCTGATTGCATCTTTCTCTCCATTTATGGGGGGACAGCAGTGAGTTGCAGGAGTGTATACTGCGTGGGCTGCCCCAAGCAGTACTGATCTGGGGGTGGTGGGAAAGTGGATGCTCTCTAGGTCATCTCAACCCCCCAGTAATTCCTGGCCTGACAATACTTTCAATTACTGTATTGTGCAACACCTGTTTCAGTCAATCCCACCTCAACCCTATGGAGGTTATTGATGGGTAACCTCTTTGGGTGTGTTACATGGTCTCCTTCTCTATTGGTACATGAAAATAATGTTGAACGTAGAAAATAGAATATTTTATGGATATCGACTGTCATAAATTATAAAGGCCAAAGGGCATCACTGTGGCTGTCTGTAACCCCTCCTGTGCTACCAGGGCTGTAGGACTTAACCTGAGTTAATTTTTCTTAATTAAATCTCACATCTTTTTCTTCCAGAAAGAGTTCTGGCACATCTATTCCGGTACGATCCTTCAGGATGTTCTAACATCTCCAAAACACTCCCACTGCTGCAGCTCTTCGTGTGAGCCGGACTGACACTGAATGTTTTTACAGACCCCAACCAGTGTGACTCCAACCCCTGTCAGAACGGAGGGAGTTGTGATGACCAGTTTCAGGATTACATTTGCCGCTGTCCTGTCGAATATGAGGGCAAAAACTGTGAAAAAGGTCAGCTATGGCCTCGCTTAACAAAATAAAGCTGTCATTATTAATTCAAATGCAAGGCATTGAGATAAACAGCAGCAATCATTATCATTCTTCATCATTCTAGCCATGACAGCTACTGTCCATGCTGCCTGCGGTGCTGCGCAATGGATCTAACCAGCTGGCAGTCAGGCACTGCAAGGCAGCAAGATAATTATTACCCTATGTAGACTTCATAAAAAAAAATAAAATTGCTTTTTGTGCACTGTCTGAGAGAAAAGGAGGACATTTTTTTTCCTACCAAGAGTTGAAGTTATTTTGACTTAGAAGCTTGGTGCAATATGTGAATGAGAACTATACTGCATATGCATCATACAAAGTCTGAGGGGACAGGTCCAGCAGTTAATGAAGTCAATATATGTTTTTCCATTGATTTCAGTAGGCACTGCATACTGAATGTTACACACTGAGCCCAAACAAGGACTAGGCACTCATCAAGTCTAACCGGGCAGTCTGAACAGTCATCCCAGAGCATCCTTCTGCCAAATGTCAAAATACAAGTTATAATTTTTCAGTCACGTATTACGATGGTTACGACACAATTAGAACACCTTCATCCTTTAGACAGCTCAGCTATTGTATAAATGCAGACTGATTTAATTTTAGATGTATGTTTCTTAAGCCTTTTCTTCCCCAGTCCCTGGACATCCAAGCCTAACTAGCTTTTGTCAAATGGAAGGTCCTTTTGATGCAGTCACTGCACATAAATCAATAATCTGCTTTGCTGCCTTGCTTCCCTGTCAACATTTCAAGTTGCAATTGACTCAGGTTAAGCACCAAAATCCACATTTGAAAACCTAAATGCTCTTTCTCTGACTATAGCGATGGCTGACAAACTGAAGTGCATTTATGACAACGGTGGCTGTGAACAATACTGTACTGATGAGCGGTCTGAAAAACGAGTGTGCTTCTGTGCGGACGATTACACTTTAGCGAGTGACGGCGTGTCCTGCATTCCCCAAGGTAAGATACTACTAGCCCAATGCTAAATCCAAGCCAGCTCTGGAAGAAAAGTTTTCAACACGTACACATCAGGAGGTGCAAGGTGTAACCCTTAGCCACCAGGTCCTCACCTCTTCTTCAAAGGCAGAGTCCAGAGCAGTACCTTTGGGCTTCTGGTGGAAGTTAGACACCCCAGAAAAGCAGCTGGCAAAGTGTGCACACCGAGCAAGGAAACGTTTGGACCTCTCCTTCCTGGCCCCAGAGATCCACTTCTCAGGAAATTTTGTTTGAATGTCCCACTGGCTAGGAGCAAGAAGGGAGTTGAACCCCTGTCTTCTCCTTGGGGAGCGCTTGCACCACTGTTCTGGTAAAGAAGAACTGAGCAGTGGAGACAAGCTTATGACCAAGTGGTCTAAATAAAGCAGAGCAGCACGTAGTCAGGGATTTGGGGTCAGACTGAGGGGTTTCTAGTGAGTAGAGGGGCTCTGGGCCTCACAAGTTCTTTTTTGGTTTAGCTTACACCCATGGTGAGAAGATATTTTTGGGGCAGCATTGTTTTACTGTTGGATCTCCAATCTGAAATGGTGATTGTGGATTTTATTGCCGTACTTATTTCAGCACAGGAGTCAAGAGAGGAAGAGGCCTATTAAAAATACAGAAAAACAGTTGCGGGTGGGGTGGCTGGTGTTTCTTCTTTATTTTTTTATTTTTTTCTTGGTTTTTTTTTTTCCTCCTATTTGGTAGGATTAATACACTTTTGGTATTCCTCTAGACACAGTGGCTAGATATTTCTCTAACTCATCTGATAATTTCAACTGGAACTAGGGTAGTGCAAGTTAATTATTTTTCCAATACTTGAATTACTTTTATTAGAGGGGAAAAAGAGACCCCTGGGGATATGAACATAACAGACAGAGCTACAGGGAGCATTTGAAGTAATTCTGAGGGATGATGCCCCACTACAAACACCTTAGTGGAGCACTCATGCAGAGAACTGATAATGACAACCTGGCTCTCAACAGCAGCAATTTCATTAGGAAAAAAGTCTACTAATGTGCTTATCCCTTATTAACAGATTCTGCAATATCACGTGATAAGGAAGCTGCTTTTGTTAAAAGCTGAAAACAAAGAATCCAATATTCTCTACGGGCTTTTCAGTGTATCTTCTTTCCCTTTTTTTAATTTTTGTTTTTCAGTGAAATACCCATGTGGAAAAATACCAGTGCTGGCAAAAAAAAATGTAACTGCACAAGGGAGAATAGTAGGTGGTTTAATCTGTCCTCCGGGTGAATGTCCATGGCAAGTGAGTCTTCAGAAATATTTCATTGCCTTTTTTTAAATTTTTCCTTATGAAACCACTATTGTTTTTTCATTGTTTTAAATCTATTATGTTAAACTCATTAAACAAATTCATTGTTTTAAATCTATTATGTTAAAAATCTATAAAAAGTTATCAGGTCTTGATAATCAAACTCCCTCTTCATCCATAGCCAATGGATCCACCTGTTTCAGTCATGCCTCTTAGCCTTGCTCTGGAGTGCCTGCGGAGTGGTAATACAACCTCCCCTATCTCCTGACCCCTCCGTCCTTAACCTTACTGCTAGCAACAATTTTAGTTGCAGCTTGTGGGGATACGCTCTTGGCCACAACAGGCAAGGTCCATACTATAAGATGGAAAAAATGTCAACGGGAAGACTCGCCCTCCTAAATTCTCCATGCCGTCAGCAGGCTATTCTCTAACACAGTTGCATAAAGGGTTAGAAAGAAGTGATATGCAACCTGACACAACTGAGATTCGGGTCAAGTACATCTGGTGTCAGACATAAATTTGCTTTGTGTTGGCAGGCCCTTATAATACAGAATCAGAAAGAAACGTGTGGCGGTACCCTGCTTTCCCCAGAGTGGGTGGTCACTGCAGCTCACTGTTTGGAGTATACTGATCCTGAACAGCTTCGGGTGAGACTGGGTATGTATCTTCCCCTCCTGATGTTATCGAGCCGTGGTTGAGGTGGCAGCTTCTCATCCTGACAAACCAGAGTGAAAGACAAAATGTGCAAGCTTTGGTAGTGTAAGGGAATCGTCCTTAAGAGGTGTCAGACTAGAAACCCCCTATCTCCTCGAACCTCTGAGGAATCAAGGAGCTGCCTGACATGACCTGTGATTAATAACTTTTCCAGGTGAACATGCAATAAATTACAATGAGAACACTGAGCAAGAAAGTGGCGTTGCTAGGATAATCATTCATGAAGAATACATGAATGGACAAGTCAATAATGATATTGCCCTCCTGAGCCTGGAAACACCTGTGAATCTCACCGACTATGTGGTGCCAATATGTTTGCCTGAAAAACGGTTAGCAGTGTATGAACTGTCCTCCATCAAGTACTCCACAGTGAGTGGATGGGGACGCCTACTAGATGGAGGTGCCACCTCTTCTGTTCTGATGAGAGTTGATTTGCCACGTGTAAAGACACAAGATTGTGAAAAGGAGACTGATTTAAATCTTACAGAAAATATGTTCTGTGCAGGAGACCTGACCGGTGTTAAGGACTCCTGCAAGGGAGACAGTGGTGGACCTCATGCTACAAGGTACAAGAACACTTGGTTTCTGACCGGGATTGTCAGCTGGGGAAAGGGCTGTGCTGTCAAAGGTAGCTATGGGGTTTACACAAGGGTATCCAAATACATCGACTGGTTGAAGAAGCACATGGATTAATGCTGTTGAACTAGAGCATTTTCAGATCGTGTTATTGCCCCCCAATCCCCATTTTCTATTGGAGCATTCCTTCATTATCTTAGATACGTGATAAATGTGATACCCACACCACTATTAATGATTTGGAACAAGTCTGATATCTACCTGAATATATAAAATAACCTCCCTGTTGGTATTGTTTGTAAACTTGCGTGTCTTGTCATGTGGGCACAGAATGGCCATAACCAACCAGACTCTCTTCTGCATCCACTTCTGCTAAGGGACAGAGCTAGATGCTGAGAGAAAGACTGTCAGCAACACATCAAGCATATCATGATCCTTCCTCCAGCTACCCTCTCAACTTCTGGAAATCAGTGATGTACAGACTTCCTGAGCCAGAAGTTGCATTACGTTGAATAGTCATGAATGAACCTGTTGTCCGCAAATACGTGCAATCTCTTTTAAACACGTTTATGCTGCTGGCTTTCACAACTTCCTATGCTGATGATGCAACAGCAGAAGAAATAGAAGAAGTGTTTCTTCTGGGTTACATTAAAGTAGCTTTCTCCAACAGCTGCAGGGGCAACAGGTACATTTGAGGGGGAGGACCTCAAGAGAGTTTCCAGGACAAGAAAGGTGGGGAAAGGTTAATTCCGTATTTACAGGTCTGCTACAAAAGCTTGATTTTAGCCTTCTTGCACCAAGCAGTATTACAGTAAGCCTATTAAGTGTAATATTTAACCTTGTATTTATGAGTGATGAAGAATACCACTGATTTAATCTTATTTTTGCCTTGGTATTACACTCGTCAATACAGAAGAGGGCAAATGAAAGGGAATGTTTGTTTCATTTGTTGTCCAGTATACTCTCTGTCTTGAGATCTAAAATCAGAATAGAATAATTGCGTGACCATCTGCAAAACACTGTCCAAAGACCATTCTCTAAAGCCTTAATGCACAAATGGTAGAACCTGAAGCACTCTGAAAACACCATCAACTATACCATTAAAAAATGTACCTTCTAATCTAAGCATGAAAACAGTGGAAAGGTAGGGGAGATAAAACCAATCAGAAGATTAGAAAACAGGTTAAGTATCTTATACAAAATTTACACTTTGGATTCATTCAAATCATGCTCAATCACAAAAGCTTATCAGCAAGTAGGACCCTTAGAATTCACCATACTCTATTATCAGGGAAAAGCACTGACATTGTATGGTACATGTACCATGCAATAGTAAACATCCTATTACCTGCTCTGCTGACATAGAAGAATGGTATAGTGTCCATTTAAGTAGTGAACAGAATTGGGAAAAGCAGCCAGTTCTGGAGGCCTGAGAAACAAGAGGTTTTACAGTATGAAAGCACACCCCCGAGGTCCTCAATAACTCCTAAAAGGAAAGCATATATGCCAGCAGAATATATTCCCGAGGAGGAAGGTGACTAGGAGCAGCGACCAGCAAATAAAGTCTCGTTTTCACAGAGGCACTCAGCATTGCAAAATCATCCCTCCAGACTCCTCAAGCTAGAATAGTTTTGGGTTTTCCATGGTCCAAAGGACAATTTCGTCTCTAATGTTCCAGCGTAAATACTGACATTTATGAACAAATCATCACCTTGCAGAAACAGGGTAAAATGCTTAAAAAAACCCAACCAGTACTAATGGCTGCACAGAGTGAGTTTTTAAAACAAAGCAGGGTTTAAGGTCTGGTTTTAATATAACAACTTATTTAAGCAAGCCAAGCTGAAGGAGACCCAACAGCAGGCTCTGGAAGCACCAAGGACATGGCCGCCACAGCGCACAACTGAGGCAAACCCCCCAAAAGGGGAGATGGAGGCCAGCTCCTGGCGAGCACCAGGCTGAGGTCACCGGGCCTGGGTGTCAAAAGCACTAAGGCAGCAGGTTACGGTGCTGGGGTGCAGGAAACGTGGGTGGGAGCTGCCAGGGGTGGTGGGTGCTTTTGGGGTGGGAGCCCGGCTTTGGGCCCCGCTCTGCCTGGCGCCCGGCCCCGCACCTGCCCG